AGGGCTTAAAATGTAAGAAAAATTATTTGCCCCATTCTGACTCTATCTCCAATCCTGCTCCCAAGAATCAACCACTTTTTAACAATTGTTCTTCTGGTAGCTGCCTCTACTATGTACATCCATCTCTAAATAATTTTTATATCTCATTTCTTGATTTGCCAATTAGATATACTGTACTGATTTCAATCATGTATCACAATTTTTGGGTTTATAAATTTTAGATGGTATTTATTGACTTCCATGATGAAATATGAGAATTTTTAGCTCTCTTCACTCTTCATTCTTCTACTGACACTACATGTGTATATATTTCTTATCCTCTCATCCTCCCAAAAGAGTAATGATTTAACTGCTCCAGTATGGAGCTCTTTAAGCCTGGCATAGTATCATTGTTGGAATGCCATCTTTGCCATCATCCTGATGCTTCCTTTCAACTTTTTCTTGTGTTAGATCTCATGATTCCTGTATGCCATGTTTTCCTCTTGCTTTACTTCCTTATTTTGAAGGGAGTAAGTAGGATAAAATTATATCTTAGTAACTTTCTAAGTAACAGCATGTGGGAAATAATCTTTCTGAGAACTTCACTGTTAGTGAAATGGATGTAGAATTCTCAATTTGAAATAAACTGTATTCAAATAAGGCATAATTCTTCTTTTCTAGCTCCAAAGCCATTATGATCTGTATAGAAGACTTTTAAAAAAAGATTTATTTATTTATTTATTTATTTATTTGAGACAGAGAGAGAGAAGAGAGTGGAGGGGATGGCAGGGAGAGAAAGGGACAGAATCCATAAGCAGACTCCCTGCTGAGCGTGGAGCCCTACCTAGAGCTGATCCCAGGACCCTGAGATCATGACCTGAAACGAAACCAAGAGTCAGACACTTAACTAACAGAGCCACCCAGGTGCCTCTGTAGAGATGACATTTTTATTTAAATTTCTGGAAGCTTGATTCTAGTATTCTGAAATTTTACAATAAAGTGTCTTTGGTTGGGTTTGTTTTATTTGTGGTAGGAACTCTTCGGGTTCTCTCAACCTAAAAATTTACACCCCTTAATTACGGAATAGTCTCATGAATTACCTCTATCATCCTTTCTTTTCCAGCACTTTCTCTATTCTACCTGTGCTTTTATTCCAATGTTGAATTTTCCAAACTGGTCCTCTACTGGATCTCTCCTAGTTTTCATTTTTGCCTATCTGCTCTTTCTTTTAAGTTTTTCAAATTTATCTTCCAGTTCTACTAAGAAACTTCTACCATTTTAGTGGTGCCTGGGTGGCTCAGTTAGTTAAGCGACTGACTATTGATTTTGGCAGGTCATCTTCTAAGGGTCACAGGGTCAAGCCCCATGTTGAGCCCCACTTCGACCCCCATATGGGGCAGGCATGTATCTGCTTCTCTCCCTCTTTCACTCACCCTCTGCCCCTCCCCCTATTGCATTTATGTGCTTTCTCTCTCTGAAATAAATAAATCTTAAAAAAAAAAAAAGAAACCTCTGCTGTTTTAAATTCCTACACTCGTGTGTGTGTGTGTGTGTGTGTGTGTGTGTGTGTGTGTGCGTGCGCGCATATACTGTTCTGTTGCTTATGTTTAAAACATCCTATTGTCTCCTGGATATCTTGAATGCAATAGCTTCTGTCATCCCCTGATGCTATTAATAATAGTCTTCAACCCTCAAATTGCTTTATGCTATTTTTTTAGTATTTGATCTCAAGTTAGACAGATTTCTTGGATTTTCATAATGCTTGGTTGCCTGTTTAAGAATAGGGGGTGAAAAGGCTGCTTGTAGTGCATGCATGGGACCAGTGACCAAGGCTTCACTGTAGAGAGATCAAGCCAAAGATTGATTAGGGATCAGCATTTTAGTCTTTCCTCCAGGGCTAGATAAATTTCCCAGGTAAAAGTCTTCCAATTTGCTACTTGGGGGATAAAGACCTGGGTGTACCCTTGAAGACTAGTAAGGAACATACTCTCTCTTTCTTTCTCTCTCTCTCTCTCTCTCTCTCTCACACACACACACACACACACACACACACACACACACTTTTCTTCTAGTTTCCATACTGAATCCAGTGCTCAATAGTACTTAGCATCTTTCAGTCAAAAACTCCTCTGCTTTACCCTCCCCCAGAGGACACAATAACCGGATGCGCATTCCAGAGTTTTAATAGCCTCTTAAATGGCTTTCAACCAATTCTACTTATTTTCCTATTCTTTCCTTTGCCTCTACAAAGGTACCAGCTACTGCTTATTCCTGAGCCTTTTAAGGTTCCTGCAGTGCAAACTGGATTGATGTTTGATTTCCCATTGCTGCCAGAAGATAAAACTGCTGACTCAGTCATCACATTTATTCTGCAGCATCTGAAATAGTTCAATATGGATTTATAGTTAAACAGACAAACCATGGTCCCTTTATAATAGTCTTAGTCAGGTGTGGGATGGAGCCAAGTTAGATGTGTTTTTCAACCTGCTACCTTTCTGGAATCTATTTTTTGTTTTTAACCTCCCCAAATGATTTAAGTCCATCTGTCATAACTGTGATTATTTTGGTGACTCTGGGTAAATTGTTTAAACATATATAACAGATATATATAACAAAATGCCTGCACTTCATATCATTTGAATATTGTGAAAAAGAGACAAAAAGATATATGCCCAGTCAAGAAGAAGGTGCTATATTAACCTAAGGTTTATTTATCTTCTTAGAGGAAGATACTATTTCACTGTTGGTAGAGGGAACTGTTTTCCATCTAAGATGATACACTGGATGGTAATCTCTCCTTGTCCCTCATTTACAAGTCAGCATTAGGATTAGTTATACAGTGTCCAGATTTATGCTTCCTCATGACAAGTGATCTTCAATTCACTAAGTGAAATGTAATAAACCAATGACTTCAGTCTCCTTATGCTCTAATTAAAGCAACAACTTTATGCTGTTTGGATATGTGCTGTTCATGTGTGTGTGTGTAACTGTATGAATTTTTCATATAAATACTTTATGTCTCCTTCCAGGCATCTGGATCATGATAACAGCAAGTCAGCAGGCCACACCATTCAGAAGAGAAAGGAAATTAATATTCCTGAGAAAAAAGGAAATTAGATACTACTTGAGAGGTGAGGCATTCTGCTCCTAATGAAAAACACCTTTTGATTTAACACACTATTCTCAGCTTTAAGTGTTTGGTAAATATTAAGCTTTTTTTTTTTTTTTTCACACTTTCAAAGGCTTACAGGCCCCCTGCAGTTCCAAAATGTTATAATATTACTACCATCAACTAGGATTTAGGAAACCTGGATTCTAGTCCTAGCTCTTTTCCAAACTGGATATGTGATCTCAGGCATGATATTCAGGCCTGCTTGGGCTCTTTACTTATAAAATATAAAATTCTTACTCTTTCACCATTCATTTCCTATTGCTGGCACAGGAGCAAAAGTAAATAAATCAGAAGTAATTTATTATTCATTCAGACAAATTAATATATTTAAATGTTTAATATATTTTAAACATTTTTTGGTCTCAGTGCTACAACTAATTAACTCTGAATACCCATCAACTGCATGGAAATCTTACCTCTAAAAAGTATCGATTTTATCAAGAAATACAAGAATACTGTATATCTACTTTTCTTTCATCTCAAATTATCAGATAATGACTACTACCTAACAAGCCTTTTTTTTTAATCTTTGGATTTAAAATTTTAATGAAAAGACTTTTTCAGTGGGGTGTGAGGTACAGAATCTTGCTTTCTATTTTTTGATATTTCAAATGTTCAAGATCTCATCTGTATGATAAACTGATTATTATAAAATATTTCATATTTGTCATATTGGTCAGTCATAAAGTAGCCTTATTGTGCAACAGATTTTTCTACCTCTTGAAGGAATGTTTTAATAAATTGGCAATTAAAATGGTTTCAAGATAAAAATGTGAGAAGGGGTTTCATATCCTACTCAGAATTATCAAAATGTATTTAAGGGGTAGGATTTATGATCTATATGCTTTGATCTCTCCAGTCTTGGTTCCAATCCTAGCTTTTGTCACTATCTTGCTTTGTGGACTCTAGGCAAGCCATTTAATTAGGGGTCAGCCATCTCACTTCAAACCTGTTGTGAAGATAAAATGAAATCAACGAAAGTATTCTAAAAGGAAAAAAAGGAATATACAAATAATGCTATTGTGGCTAATTAGCTCAATTATTCAACGTGCTGGGGTTGAGAGGGCTCTTATTCCATTAATTTCTTTCTGATCCCCATCCTGTCTTTTACAGAACCAGAGGCCCAAGGCTATCCATGCATTAGTTCACATACTTCAGCATCACCGGAAATACCTCCTTAATTTTTTTCAGGCCTTGCTTTAAACCAGACCATATATTGTCATACTGTAAGACTCACATACTCTTTTTATGTTCACTATCAAGCTTTTCTCTAATGAGGCTACAACAAGAACAGAAACCTATCTGGAGATAAGGATGCACGAGCAGATTTGGAACCACTGCTCTCTAATGGCTTTCTAAACCTACAGGTGGGAATTGCTTATACCCAGCAGTGACCACTGACATCCCGGATGAAGTCAGCCGGCCTCAAAAGCACAGAGCATGTCAGGAACTCTCTGTGAGGAGTCATTACTTAGACGTCTTTTCTAGAAAAGCGTCTGGAAATCAGGTGTTTGGGAAAAGAATGGGTAATCCCTAGTCACAAACCTCTGTAGTGTTACTACTGTATCTTGCATAGGAAAACGACTAGGGGGTGGGGCCGGCTTTAATTCCAGTACTTGGCGTTGCCACACGGTGCCAGAACTGGTCTCTGGTAGGGAAGGCTGCGATGGCCTTGGCTCCCATCGAGTGGGCTTCTAACCAGGAAAGGGAGAAAAGAGTAGTGGTGTTTCTGCGATGTGACAAAACGGGCCAGCTTAAAGCCACGCACGTCTGTAGCATGCATCCCTCGAACAGTTTTTCCCAATCCCCTCCCTTAAAGACAGAGCGCGCGCCCGTGAGGGCCCATTACCATCCTGCAGGATGAGGGTGGGCTGTACCGCCTGCACTCGGAACTGCCTGGCCCTCCAGCCGGGGCTGGGCGCCCGCACCACCTCGCTGTCAGACAGCCAGGTCACGGTCTCAAAGTTGTCCCCGCGAGCCAGCGCCTCGGCCTCGGCATGATGCACGGCCACCCGGTCGAACTGGTAGAGGCCTCCGGAGTGGTCGAAGTGCACGTGGGTGGCCACGGCCAGCAGTGGCCTGCACGCCGCGTCCTCTTTGGCCCCGTGATCCTGCAAGAGCCCAGAGGAGTACAGGTACTCCGGGAGGCTGCGCAGCCCCAGGCCCGTATCGATCACCACATCTTGCTCGGAACCGCGCACCAGCCAGATGTTGGCGCGGTTGCCCGACTCATAGAAGCGTTCCTGAATCCAGAAGATGCCGTCGCCCAGGGACTTGTGGGCGTACCACTCGAGCGCGGACATGCTGGGCAGGGGTGCGGTCGGGTGGAGTGGGTGTAGGTGTGTGTGCCTCTGGCAGGCTGTCCAGACGCTAGGCGCTGCGGCGGTGTGGAGCGGTCAGCCCGCAGCCAGCGAGGAGGCGCAGAGCGAGGAGAGGGCGGGGGATCCGGGAGATGCGAGGGCGGGGGGAGAACTAGGAGGAAGGACGCGCCGAGACGCGGCCTGGAGAGTCGGCCCGCACCCTCCAGCCAGGTCCGCAGAGAGCAGAGGTTGCTTTGCCCGCACCGAGGCGCGGGAGTAGTCGCGGCTTCAACAGCTGCAGCACGAGAGAGCGTTAACGCAGGGGCACTGCAGCAGACTGGAGACCCAGAAGGGGACACTTTCTTCACCCCGGGAGTCTGACTGCAGAGGCGAGAAGCTAGGCGGGGGAGGTGCCAGGTCCTCCCACCCACCGCGCGCTGCGAAGCGCATTTCCAGCCGGCGCCGAAAGAGTCAGGCCAAGCCGGATGGACGAGTACGGCTCCTGCCAAGGGCTAAAAAGCTCTTGGCCCAGCGGGCGGGGCCTAACTAGGGAGTGGGCGGGGCTTACTGGTTGGGATCGGAACACGGCTCTGAGGCCGCGTGGAGGGCGGAGCGCGCTTCTCCAGAGGTGGAACGGGTATACCAGCGCCCGCGCCTTCTGTCTGCACCCCTTCCTTGCCGGCCGGTACTTCGGCTGCACAGTTTTACCCAAGCCTCAAGACTTAGTGAGCAGGTAACAGAGGGAGTGATTGAGGGGTTGGGAGGAGATGGAGAGGGTAGAGAGAAGTTAAAGGGGCACATGGAGAAGGTGGGGGAAGTCAGGGTGGCGATTCACTAAAGCGCTTCTGGATTGAGGGGCGTGGGGAGATCGCTCTATCTTTCCTTCTCCTAATTCCTTCACAATCTTTGAAAACTGCCCTTTCCAAATTTTACCTAGTCTCCACTTCCTGGGACTGTTTGCAGTGAGTTAGAAGGGGATTTATGATGGTAGATTTTCAAATCTGGTGACTGTGTGATTGGCTCAGGCACGAGTCATTGCCGCAGACTTGCTGCTTAAGGACCGACTATTCTGTATGTTTTCCTAACTCTTGGCACTCTCCCCTGTATCGCGGGGAGAGGATTTGTTAATAACGTTTTTCTGGTCTTCCGAAAAACGAAATTCTGTATTCCTTCCCCTACCCTCCGTTTTTTTGTTTTTTTTTTTTGTTTTGTTTTGTTTTGTTTTTGTTTTGTTTTGTTTTGTTTTGTTTTGGTTAGTTTGTCCGCTCTTGGAAGAGAGCAAAGAAACTTGATAGAAAGGCTCAAGTAAAGGTGGAGGCAGTCGCACCTTGTGAGAACGGAAAACGTGGATAGTGCCTGGGTGTGGCCCAGCCCGCCACAGAAATTACCCCTACTCTTAACACCAGGTCCCTGTCCCCACCTAACACTTCCCAGCAATTGAAACATCAAGTTAGGCTTCAAAAATTCCCTTGAGAACTTGACTAACCTCCTTACTCAGCCAGGAAAAATTATAAAGATACCCATGAGATAGTATTATAAAAAATAATTAAGAAAACCCTTTTTGTGGCGGCTACTAATAAGCCTTCATAGGAGAAATGTACTGTCTTCCCCTACACTCCTAAAGCCTTTGGTGAAGATGCAGCTTTTCTCAATATTTTCCTAATCTAGTTAGAATCTATCCAGTCACTCTGTTCAGGGCTATCCATACATGGAAGGTCTTGAGCTAGATGATATGTGAGAATAGAACTGGAGGTAGGGGGGGAGAAGTTGTAATCTGCGTTTTCAAGAATTTGAGGGAAGATAATACCTATGCACAAATATTTGTATGTAAAGCAGTATAGGATATATACCACAGAGGAAGTAAAAACTAGGTGCTATATAAGGATACAAATGGAAATGATTGTTTAAGAGTAGTATTTGAGCAGGACTTAAAAGACCAGTTTGTTAGGATGCCCTCCACTGGGAAGTACAGAGCTTTCTGTAGTTGGGTATTTTTCCTCTAGGCAGAGGGGAACCACTGTAGGAGAAATGGAGGGATATCTTTACTAGGCAGTAAGTTCAGCAATAATTCACCCAGTGTTTATTGGACTTTTGCTAGGCTCTGATTAGTGATAGAGCATGAAAATGTGAGTAAGTCTTCAAGGAGACCTTCATGATTACAGATCCTTCTGCTTGCATCACACTTTTCCCTGAATGTCTGTCCTTTCTTAGTTCTTAACATGGCCTTTCCATTTCCTGTGCTAGGCTGTGAGCTCTAGGAGAGCAGAAGCTTTGTTTTTGCTTACTGCTGTATGCCCAGTATGGAGAAGATGGTCTGACACAGAGGGTACTTAATAAATACTTGATGAATGGGTAATTGAAGAGCTTACTGGAAAGACAGACAAGAACTGACAATTACAACATGATTTTTTTAAAAGGGTAATAAAAGCAGGTCTCTCCTCCTCCGTAGGAGGAGACAGAGAAGGGAGAGACCTACCTCCATGTTGGGTGGGGAAAAAGTATATTTGCACAGCATCTTAAATGATGTTGGGGCTTGCTCAGGTAGATGTAGGAGGAAGGCATTCCAGGCAGAAGGAATGCTACAAGCAAGAGTTGGTGTAGCAGAGTTGAGAGTGGCTAGAGTATGGCGTGCAGGGCACAAGAGGCAGAAAGTTAGACTCAAAGCTTTGTTAGTTAAGGAGAGTGACACATCGAGGTTTATGTTCTAGAAAGATGACTGGAAAGTGGATTGAAAAGGGGTGTCTGGCCATGGGAATTTACTTGTTCTGTGTTAGAGATCCAGGTGAGAAATTGTAAAGGTCTGAACAAAAGCAGAGGTGAAGGAAGGTCAGCATGTAAGACCTTCCTAACATTCATCTATTGATGAGGGGATTGAGGGAGATGGGGAGGAGGTCAGTAGGACTATGGGATTCTGATTGGGACAATTTAGGTGTCACTCTCATCAAGAAAGATACTGTGACCTGGCTTTCAAGTCCTCCCCCAGCTTCCATGCCTGTTTACATCTGTTTGTACATTTATTCACCTCACCAATATGTGCAAGGGACAGTGTGAGATGTGGAAGACAATGCATTTAGGCCAGAACATAACTCATAAAATGTTCGTACTATGAGGAATTTTAGAGATTAGCTCAGGCTCTGTTGCAAGATTGTCTTTATAATTGATTAGAATGGGCTTTGCATTTCAACTCTTGGAGGCTTGGACTACACCCATCAAACTATCTCAGAACAGTTCTGAATTGGAATTTTCAGGAGTCATTCCAAAATGGAAGATAATGCTTCTTATTTTAAATTTTTTAAAAAAGATTTTATTTATTTATTTGACACAAAGAGAGAGATCACAGGTAGGTAGAGAGACAGACAGAGAGAGAGGGGAGGTAGACTCCCTGCTGAGCAGAGAGCCCAGTGTTGGACTCAATCCCAGAACCCTGAGATCATGACCTGAGCCAAAGGCAGAGGCATAACCCACTGAGCCACCCAGGTGCCCTGATTTTACACTTTTAAATTCAGTCAATTTCGCCATTACTAAATCACTTCTTTGTAAAGATTAAAGATATCTGTGGGATTAAAAAAAATCTTCAGCTAACCTAGAAGTGTGTTTCAGATAGCATAATGTAGATGAACGGATAATGGAAAGATACCTGAGGCTTTAACCCAGTTCTGTCTTTGTTAGGAATTAATTGCGTGTCTTTAGGCAGTCAGCTAGCCTCTCAGGGCTTCACTTTCCTCTTTTACAAAATGCAAAATTTAATCTGAATCAGTGGTTCTTAATTTGCTACACATTGTAATCTCTGGGAAGGCTTTAAAAAGTCCTAAGGCCTAAATCCCATCTCCAGAAATTGTGATTTTGTTGTTCTGGGGGGGAAGCCTGAGGTATGTTTTGTTTCGTTTTGTTTTTAAATTCTGATGATTCCAGTGTATATCCAGGTCTCCAACTTTAACGTTCTGGAAGTTTAAAAACACCACCAACAACAATGTTCATAACTGGCTGACTGATTTGGGTAGGTTTGCTCATGAAATCATATGACAGAAAGAAAGAAAGAAAGAAAGAAGGAGCTCAACATTAATTGTGGAACTGCTACTTTCTAGAGAGCACTGTGCTAGACAATGAGGGGTATAAAATCTCTATTGTTACTACAGCCGAAGAAATAAACAAACAGAAAACATAAGTGAAACTCCTTCCCTTTGGAAAAGACCCATTTCCTAAAAACGGCATTTCTTCCAGAATTAAAGAGCAGTGATGTGTAACATCTCAATTTTTATTTATTTTAATAGGAGGATCTCTCTTAAGAGCAAGGTAGGGTAAAATGACTGTTGTGGATTTTTGAGGGACTTAAACTGGATCTTAAGGTGAAAGGGGATCCAGTGAGGCAGGAATAAAGATGGAGTAGATTGCAGTGGAGAGAATGGTCAACAAGATATGATGATAGAAGGAGTCAGGAGAATGGTGCAGGCATCTTAAAAGGACCCTTATTACTTGGGTCGAGTAATTACTACTTGAACTCAATTCCATAGCCAAGAAGGAAATGAGAAGAGTAGGATAATCAGAACTATGCCTCAGGATGAATAATGTAGAAGGATAAATTCAAATAAATGGTAAAAACAAGGGATATGACAAAACTTGCAGTCAGTCAAAAGTGAGGTAAAAAGGGGCTACATGGGATTATGGTAGAGGAAATGAAAAGGAAGGGATGCTTTGAAGGAAGAATTAGCTGATTGATTTGATGGGGGGGTGAAAAAGAGTGAGAAATCAATACCGATGCCCTCCACATCATCAAATGTTGGTGACTGGGAAAATAACATACCATGGACGGAAATAGGGTTGTAATACCTGAAAGGAAAGCTAGTTGGTGTAGAGGGAAGACGAGCTCAGTATTTTAAGTTTAAAGTGCTTTCCAGATATTCTTTTGATAATGGGAACATGGGCTGAAACTCAAGACAAAGGTCAGTGCTGGAGATAATAGTGTGACTAGTCATCACACCCTGAATGTGGATGTGTTTTCTGAAGACCAAGACCAAAAAGAGCAGAAGGCCAAAGATTGTACCTTAAGGAAACCATACTTAGGACTTTAAGAATAGAAGTAGACAGAAAAAGAAAAAAAAGAAAAGTCAGTGAGGTAGAAAGACCTGGAGGGGTGTTGTTGTTGTTGTTGTTGTT